AATTCTGTTGCATGGATATGAGTTTGTCACCCTGGGTTTCACGCTTTTACAGTCATCAGAAAAACAAAGTTTGACCCAGGGTCACAAACTCATATCCATACAACAGAATATGTTAGCTCTGATATTGAGCACTTTCCAATAAGTACTGCTCACACAAAAGCCAAAATATATGCATATATCCACATGTAATGAGAATGAAAATAATATAAATTCTAATGTTTCCAGCATTAATTCAAAAGAGGGTTCAATACCAAGAGTAGAGCAATAATTATTTTCACTCTTCTCTTTTTCCTTTTAAGGTGTTTCTCCTATTTTTTTCATAAGCAGTTTGCTTGTAAATAGCATTGTTCATAAGTATTTTTGGTTCTTATCAGTCGGAATACAGGCATATTGAAACAAGAATGCATCTTTGTAGTGAGCAAGTTGTTTTTGTATGTAAAAATTACAATAAATAATATATATGTATCAGTTGTCTACTAAGTGTCAAACACAGCAATCAGGTTCAACCGATTTAGCTCTACACATTCATTACTAAAAATTACTGTTATGACATAAGCTTTCATGTCCATCTTTGCTCAACTTGCATGTTTTTCTTTGTGATGATTACTTGAAGGTTGTAGTTTGGCTAAAGACTTGAAAACAATCAATGGTCTTAATATTCTGTATCTTTTTTTATTTATTTACATTCATAACATCAGATTTTTCAATTTGTTTAATTGCAAGAAAAGCTTTTCCACTTTGTCATACATTTTTCCTCATATATATAGTCTGATTGATAAATTGTCTTCTAAATTATACAAAAATGAAATTAACACTGACATCTCATTTTAACAGATATTTACCAAAATTGCACAAAAATATCTTGAAATATTAAAGTAAATTTATTCAATAAAATTGCCATTAGCTTTAACCATGACCTCCAGATGACTTTGGAATCTCTTGATACCCTGTAGCAAGATGAATGGAGGCATAACTTCACCATCACCAGTGATCAATCCAAACACCATGATGTTAACTGGATATTTGGTTTTCATCACTCTCAGTACATCTTTTGGGGACATAGTATCCTCTGCACTGTCTTCAGATTGACACTTAAACATGCTGAAATGTTCGTATTGGAGCTTCTTGCATGAATGCTGAGCAGTACATGTCATTTCCAAATTTCTGGCTGAGTTAATTGAATCATGGTGGTCTTTTTCTCACAGGCAGTGCCCAACTGACCCTATTATAATGTGCAGTCAACAAAATCAAAAACAAACATGCATGCACAAAATTAAAAATATAAAATGATGACAATAACACTGTGTGTGTGTTTGGTTTGGTTTACTGCATATCAACCTCAATGGGTTATTTAATGCCAACAAGATTTTTATTGCTGGTAATACTTTTTTCTTCAAAAATGCATTGCTGGTAATATTTTTTTTCCTTTAAAAATGTGTTGCTGGTAAGATTTATTTTCTTCAAAAATGCATTGCTTTTAATAATTTTTCATAAAATTTATTGTTGGTATTAAAACCTATTTTTACACTTTCATAGTGTTTTGACCTCAGCTTGGGGGTTAACTATTTGGCCATAGATGGGACCCTAACAGGTGCTACCACCCTGGGTCAGGGTGAACCTGGGAACCCCAGCAATTAAGATGTAGTTCCATACTCCTCAAAACCTTTTGATCAGAGACCTTGCTGTTGGATGTAGTTTATTGTCTTAGCTGGGTTGGGCTTGTTTGTGTGTATTTATATATATATATATATATATATATATATGTAATGTCATTCACAGACAGTACTGTTTTGCTGTATCACAGCTCCTCAGTGTGACTAGACAAACGAATGCCTCAAGCCTGGATCAAAACCCAATTGATTTGGTGTCAATTAGGGCTTCTACCACTGAGCCATGTTCACTCGATAGAATGAGTCAGCCAAATCTAGCATATTGTTTTTACAAATGTAAGCAGCCATAGTGCTCCATTCATTTTACTGAAGAGCTTCACATTTACACAGAAAATGTTTTTAGAATTAGCTTGTCATTCAACAGTGCTCAATTGAAAATATTTTTTCAAGAGCAGAGAAACAATATAAATAAAAGACGAAAGGAAAACTTTCCTTCACCAACATATTTCATTCTTTGAGAAATTTTTCAAGGTAATGTGGAGATTTTATTTCGTAACTTGTATTTATATATGAAAATAATGAGGAGGAAAATATTAACTTTTCAAATTTTGAATTTGAGAATGCTCTAAAATATTCTTAAAGCTTGCTGTGTAAGGAAAGGTAAACTATAAAGGATATTAAGTGATGTAATTTATTGCTTAATAATTGAAAGTGTGTAAATGTTATTGAATTTTTATTTGCAAATATAACAGAAATATTTTATCAAAAATGAAAACAAAACATTGGTAAGAAAAAAATTGTTTAAAAAGGTTACAAAAAAGAAATTTGTGAAAAATTAAAAGATGACCAACAAGAAAATATTTAAAGAATCTGATGTAATAAATGGAAAAGATACAGAATACTTGAAAGCAACCAAACTACCACCTTCAAGTAATCATCACAAAGAAAAACATGCAAGTTGAGCAAAGATCGACATAAAAACTGATTTTTTAGTGATGAATGTAGAGCTACATTGGATAGACTTGATGGCTGGGAGAGAAATTTGGCTCTTCATGGAAATAATTACATTATTTGTTTTCATCTTTGTTGCTGTTATCATAAAATTTGGATAGACTTGATGGCTGGGTTACAGTCTGTGTCTTCAGTGAACATAACTTAAAAGACAACTGCAAAGAGGTGAAATAATGTTTTTGAATATTAATAAAGACAGTAAAATAATTATAATTTTAATGTCTTTATTGCTATCCAACTAGTTTTTCAAATTTGATGAGGTATCAAGATGAATGTAGAGAACTATTGTCAAGATAATTTTTTGAGTGGTACAAGTTACAGCTAAACAAGTTTTAAGCTAAAGAGTATATTCTTTCACATCCTGCAAAACTGACAATTGCTCACCTTGACAAAAAATTATTCAAAGATAAGATTAATGGAATGACCTTCAGCTGCTCTACATATTAATCAAATAAAAAATTTGGTCTATCATTAAGAAATATATACAAGAATGGAAAACAATATTCAAGTAAAGAAAATATCTGGAAAGTAATAAAAATTTCTACAATTTCTATTGTCACTTTTGAGATGAGGAATTATCATTATCATGTTCCTTACTATTCAGACTAACATGCTTATTTCTGTTGTTACAGCCACAATGTTTCAACTGTTGTACCCTCTGGCCTTCTTCAGGTGTCTGGTATTGTTCTATTCAATAAACATCTTGAAAGTTGTTCAATCCCTGGGTGTAGATTGTTCTGGGATTATTTCATATCCATTACACATAGCCTAATGCATTAAAGCATTTGTTGAATATATCTGCTTCCCTGTCAGGTGTGAATTCAATCTCTGTGTTTGTTCTAGATAATAAACTACATCTATCAGCAAGTCCTCTGATTGGGAGATTAGAGGTTTTGTGGAGCATGGAACCACCTCTTAATTGCTGGTGTTCCCAGATCCACCCTGACATCAGATAGTAGCACCTTTTAGGATCTCAGCTATGGGCAAATAGTGAAACGCAAACAAAATTCAACAGTACATTTTTATAGTAAAATTACCAACATTTTATGATCTACAAAATATATATCTAAAAACATATTTTTACTCAGAAAGTATAAAATTATGTACAATATGTCATTGAAAGCATAAAATTACATTCAAAATATCTAGATTTCATCATTAAATAACCCATAGAGGTGTTGATATGTCCCCAAACAAAATCAACCAACTAATCTCTGTGTCTGGTAGTGCTGAAAAGTCACATAATCTGATTCGGTAAAAGAAATAGATGAACAATACAAAAATGAATAAAACTGATATCAGAATAATCTCCTCTTGTAGATTGAATAAAGGGTTTGGTTCAACATTCCAAGAAGTTTTTTTTTTTACTTATACTAATGTTCAAGTAATACAAGGCCTAAGAGTCACTCATGGTAGAGGGTTACTGTGTTGAGTTGTATGAGCATAAGAAAGGGCAAGAAGTGAAGTTCATAGGGCTATATGAGAAAGATAACAGTTAACCCTAGGCTTGAAGAAGTCAAGATTGTAGTGTTTGGTAAAGCATGTGAAATGTGAGTATGAAAATGAAGATGGTCTGAAGAGTAAGACATATGATTGCTTCAAGTAATGTTAAAGTTAAAACAGTAAAAGTTAATATTAATGGTTAAAAGACTGATGAAGGTTATAGAATGTCAAGACTCCCATATTAAAATGTAAAATAAAATAATTTATTCAGCTATATGGGATATTGTGTTTAATAAATTAAATGTTTCTATAGCTTCTATCTTTTGGATTGATTTTATAGATAGATATGTTGCACTTGGTTTGTTTGTTAAATGAGACATTCGTAAAACAAGTTTCTATCAATATTTGTAATAAGCGAAGATCCTGTCAATTGAAATGCTTATATGTTGCTCATAAAATTATGCTGAACATTTTACAAACAAAAATTAATATTCATTTTATTGTGAAAATAATAATCTTTCATAATAATCTTTCATCATGTATATTCATTTAATTTTTTATTTTTTGAGGATTAATTGCTTTTGATATAAAAGTATTAGGATGAAAAGTTTTTTATGAAGAGATTTGTATTTCTCTTATATTTCTGGGCATGAAACATTTAAGGAGAAAGTTTGTTTTCATAAAGTTGTTGAAGTGGAGTCATGAAAAAAAAACAAAAAAGAAAACAATGAAATTCTAAATCATGTGAGGTTTACTCAAATACAAAGTGAGACAAGCCCTCATGGCTTCAGCCTATGCAACTGTTATGGTGCATCTAAATATTCAACAAAGTGTGGAGTAACATACCAACACAAATTAGCATTTAGTAATTGAATTTTAAACTTAGAACATGATATTTTTTAAAAATTTAGTTTTTTTTTAATTTTTTTTTTTCAGCACATTCTCTTTGTTCAGTTTCTTCTCTCTCTTTACTTTTCACATTTTCTCTTCCTCTCTGTTTTTCTTTTCTCTTCCTCTCTGTTTTTCTTTTCTCTTCCTCTCTGTTTTTCTTTTCTCTTCCTCTCTGTTTTTCTTTTCTCTTCCTCTCTGTTTTTCTTTTCTCTTCCTCTCTGTTTTTCTTTTCTCTTCCTCTCTGTTTTTCTTTTCTTTTTTCACATTTTCTCTTTCTCCTTCTTTTCTCTTTCTTTTCTCTTTCTTTTTCTTTTTCTTTCTTTTTCTCCTTTTCTCTCACCTCTTCTCTCCTTTTCTCTCACCTCTTCTCTCCTTTTCTCTCACCTCTTCTCTCCTTTTCTCTCTCCTTTACTGTGAAAGGATTGGCTAACTGAGAAATTAAAACTTGTTTATGCTGTGACATTTTAGCTTTTTTATTTGTCCTGATATTTGCATGTCATAACATTCATGATGACTTTTTTCTTAAAGTTATTTCAAGCCAATTCATTCTAAACAGTTGTCAATAAATTTTAAAAATAGTTTCACAGAAATTCATTTTTAATAAGAAATGACAATCCTTATAGAAAATAACCGAAATAATACAAAGAAATAAACAAAATTATAGAAATATTTTGTTTGCATCATTTCCAAGATTTATTTTCTGATACCATATTATTAACTTTTGTCTTCTTGCCTGAATATCTGAAAAATAACAACTTTTAAAAAGAACATTTAAAAAATTGTAATTAATGTTTTCAAAGTTTTATATTGAAATGATCAGGCAAATATACTAAGAAAAAAAGTCTTCTATTAAATAAACACAAATGCTTACAAAATCCATATTTATAACTGACTTTTTAAAACTTTTTTTTTTTTTTTCTGAGTAAATCAAAATTTTATCAGTTTGTTTGGTGTTGTTGCAACATTTTCTATGACTAAAGAAAAAGCCAGAACCATTGTTTAGACAGGTTGACTGCAGCAGCTGAGCTCAGAGGGGAACCTAAGAAATGTATTACTCATCATGTGATCTCATCCATTGTCATCGTTGTCTTCTGCTTCCACTGGGGCTTTTCATAAGTGTTATTCATTTGAAGAAGTCTTTTCCTGCTGGTTTTTTGACCTCAGCCAGGAAATACTTTTGCAATTCTTTCTTGGTGTCATGTAAAAAGAGAAATGTGAAACTGTCATCCCTTTTGACTTCTTGTTGCCTGGCATCACATGATTATGAAAGTGAAGCATCACTTTCTTTAGCTGGAACTGTATGGATGAAAATTTGAGAGGACCTGATGCTGTTAGGAAATTTCTCAGCCTGATCTATTTTGTTGAAATGCCCTCAAAGTGAAAAGGGAATATAAGATTTAGATATTGTTGTGGTAATTATGAAGAGTTTTGGATATTTGAATTTAGAGTGCTAAATTTGAAATTCTATTTTTCTAAGTTTAGTGCCATTGTTGTAAATTTATGCCTCATAGACCTTTGAAATATTTACAAAAGGAAAGTTAAAAGCAAATTTAGGAAGATTTTATAGAATAAATTTGCTTAAGAAGTATTCTTTTTTCTTTTTTAGAAGGGTTCTTTTTCTTCCAACATTTGTAAACCTTAAATGTTAAAACTAATTTTACTTGTATTTGTATAAAATATAAAGTTTCTTTCTTTGGCTGAAAATTTATTCCAGAATTCAACAAATGGTCTATTATTTTTTTGTTTTTCATATAACAGATAAATTAAGAGTTTCTCAATAATGTAGAAAATATTCTTAGCAGATCAAATATTAAGAGATGATCTCTTAAAGCAAACTTTATATTTAGAGCTTTAAAAATATCCAAACAAATATATAAAACTCTTCAGTCCAAAATGTTCTGTTTTTCTTGTTTCTTGGATGTTATGTTACTGATAAGATTATCATTTTCGTCTTAATATATCAATCAAAATTAAATGAAAGTTTCTAAATGACTTTAACTTTTTTAAATAGATTTAAATAGTAAAAGGCTTGTATCTATTAGATAACTAATTTCTATTTTGGGGAACCGATTATAATTAATTTATCATTCTAACGAGCCCTTTGTAAATATAACATATAATGAAAATGGGTTTCATATAACAATATTCAATGCAATAAGCAGTGAATTGACAAGGACAAATCTCCAGAACTGACCCCAAAAGCTGAGCTCCATAGAAGAAAGGGAATATTATGCATGTGGTGGGATCATTGGTTTAACATTCATTTAGAAAAAAATATATTTTATTTTTTTAAAAGGAGTCCATCAAGAATCGATGATGACCCAACCTAGCACAGCTAGGTGCCTTGCGAAGGTTGGTATGGTTGCAATGGTTTGTACTGAGCCAGAGCAACCCTGTCTTTCCTACACCTTCAATCCCAGGGTACACAAATGTGTGATCTCTGGGGAGAGAAAGCAGGCTACATAGGATGCCAGATAATACCAGATAGTATGGAGTTATTAACTGCCTTCTGTTCCCTCCTGATTTTCCAGGCTGGTTTGAATTCAGAGGTTACCTTCACCTAGACTGGTTGCCACCCAAGGCTATAGAACTCATTCTGTTCTGCTTTTCACCCATAGCTGGGGGAGAAGAGATGGATTCATACCTTTTTCAAAGTTATTAGCATGTAAGTGAATGTAATGAACTTCAACTGGAATTTGAACTCTGATTTCTCAATCCGAGCTGCAATCCATTTCTCAATCGTACCTCCTCTAAAAATGTCATGAAACAATAAATGCACATTTATATATTTAGCAGCTGAAACATGTCCATAAAAGTCAGTAGGAAAATGTTCTCCTCTTTTGTGACAACTCAAGGCTGCATCATAAGGTTCATAGGAGCACCACCTGTATTTCAGCTGCTGTGCTAGTGATAACTTCTGGGCAAGATAGCCTGATATTTTTTCTTCTCCTAGATTTGTTTCCACCCAAGGCTATAGGAGCCAGTCTGTCCTGCTATTTACTCATAGGTGGGTGGAGAAGAGGTGGTTTTTTACCCTTTCCGTAAGGGTTTTTATACATAAATGAATGTAACAAACTCAACTGGAATTTGGACTTTACTTTCTGATTGCTCAATTCAAGCTGTTATCTATTATGCCACCATGCCTCCTCTCCCTACAGCAGGAAAAATGCAGGAAAATAAATCAGAACACAGGTGGTCTGTTCTACTTCACCTGCCATATTGACCTCACCTTGAACTAAGTGATTATTAACTTTATTCATTGCTGTTAAAATCTTTAATGGGGAAAACATTCTCTAATTAAAACCAAATTCATTAAAAACTTTTTTCACATCAAAATCTGTGGAATTTACTCAAAAGGTATCAATGAGCTACCTGGTAAGTGGCAAAGGTCATTGCAAATAATGGTGAATATATAGTTGAATAAAATATAATTGTACTTTATTTTTTAAAGAATAATGTTGATAAACAAAAATGGAAATTTGTTATGATTCAACCTAAATTTATTTTCATGTATAATATGATAACTCACTTTATAACCAAATCTAATTCTTGTGAGAATAAAAAATGTATTTTGATGAATTTAAAAAATCCTCCTGTTATTCCTGTTTAAATTGTTTGAATTTTGTTGTCCTTGAATTTTTATTGAAAATGGTTAATTAATTTTCTGACAATTAACGTTTAATTAATTTTGTATTGACATAGAGATTTTGTTGCTGTTAAGTAAGTGTTGATAGCTGTGAAGATTTTTCATTGAACATGGCTGCTGTTGGATTTTATTGTGCAAGTCAATGTTTTCAAAATGTATTAACTGATATCATTAAAATTGTAAAATTTATGAGTAATTTTTGAGTATATTATAATATTTATATGAGTAATATATTGTAAAATTTATATGAGTAAAAATAAAATGTTGTAAATTTATATAAGTAATATATTGTATCAGTATAGTGTTAACCTTATTAAAAATATTCAAAATAACTTATTTTGGGAGTGTTAGCTTTTATTATAAAACCAATGGTTAACAATTTTTTATTTCAATAAGTTCAAAAGATATAAGCCACAGAAACATATTTTATAACACAATATCCCATAGACCTGAATAATTTATTTTATCATTCTTCATGTTAAAATGGACTCCTTGAAATTTTATAACATTCATTAGTTTATCATTCATTGATTTTATTAACTTTCTTACTGTTTAAACTAGAGAATTACTTGCAGCAAGTTTTAATGCTTTCCATCTATGCTTGAATACTGTTTTCTATTCTCATAGACATCTCTCTTCTAATGATATACCATGTTTTCTATTGGATTAATATATATAGAGAGACTGGGTTGTTCCATTAATTTGGTGTCTTTGAAACTGTTTTTTGGCAAGGTGAGCAATTGTCAGTTCTGATGAATATGGTCTTTACTTTAAAGCTTCTTGACCTTTTTATCACTCAAAAAATCTCTTGTCTAAGAACTTACAATAATTCTCTATATATATTTTGATAGCATCATCAACTTTGAAGGGACCTATAATTTTACTGCTTTCAATACTAATCCAAATCATTTTTTCCCACTTCACTGTTGTCTTCTAAGTCATATTGGTTGACTATTAAGTTCAACCAATGTAGCTTTGCATTCATCATTAAAATTAATCTTGAGAAATAAAATTTTATGTAATTCTTTGCCCAACTTACATGTTTCTCTTTGTGATGTTTACTTGAAGGTTATAGTTTAATATCTTTAGCCAATTTTCTTAATATTCTGTGTCTTTTTTGTCTATTCACATTCACAACACCAATTTCTCCAAATATGTTTTTGTTGGTTAATTCACTTTTCTTGCTTTTACCCTTTTACTTTTTCTCCAATCTCTTTTTGTAACATTTTTAAACTCAGTTTCTTTTTTGGCTTTGAGTTTCCATTGTTTTCAATTTCTTTTTTGATTGCTCTTTGATCTTTTTTCAATATTGTTCCAATCACAATAACTTTACATTATTGGTATTGTGTGTGCATAAGCAGATTAATGTCCATAGCCTTATGATGAAAAGCCTGTATTTTTTGCAGGAAAATGTTTTATTTCTCAGCAATTTTTGTTCCTTGTCAATAGACTTCACGTTATTCAAATTTATATGGTGAACATTTAAGATAAAAATTCAGCTGATGGCTGTGTTGGCTTTTGAATTTATTTGATTCACCTTGTGTTTTTATGAACTGTTGTTAAAAATTTCTTTGTCTAAGAAGCCTTCCTGAAAAAAATTCTGATATTTGGACAGGTTTTCAGAGTTGGGTTAGGGCATGAAATTTACATATATGATAGTAACTCTAGCAAATGTTTATGTAAATATTTTCCTTAACAATTGAGTGTATTTCAATTTTGATATTTGAGTTTTTATTTCCTTTATCTTAAGTAATTCTACTTTAAAAATTTTCTCATAGATCAAA